TGCAACTCCCAAGGCTGCAGTGCTTCTGGCCACCCTATCAAATCACTCTCATTATGCGTTAGAGTTTACCATGTCTGTACGGAAGCCTCCCCTGCCACTGGATCCAATCCACCACCAAGTGGTGATCGGCTGACAGCTCTGCCCATCTCTTTACCAGAGTGCCCAAGACATAGGACTGCAGGTCCAATGATACAGTTACAAAACTGATCATAGACTTTTGGTCTAAAGTGTTCTGGTACCAAGTACACTTGTGAACCATACTATGCTCAAGCAAGATGTTCGTTATGGACAACCCATGTCTAGCACAGAAGTCCAATAAATGAACACCATTCAGAGGCCGTTCCTTCCAGTCACCCCCTTCCAGATAGTTCCGTCATTACCCACATGGGCATTTTAGTTGCACTCTATAGCACTTTGAAATTTTTGTTAATGAAAAGTGTTACAAATTGAATTCATTATTATTATTATTATTATTATTATTAGCCAATAAAATTATGGAATCCGGGCAGCACGGTGGCGCAACTGGTAGAGCTGCTGCCTCTCAGCGAGCAGGTCCTTGGTTCAAACCCCGGTCCAGGGGCCTTTCTGGGTGGAGTTTGCATGTTCTCTCCGTGCGTGCGTGGGTTTTCTCCGGGTACTCCGGTTTCCTCCCACAGACCAAAAACATGCATGTTAGGCTGATTGGTAACTCTAAATTGTCCCTAGGTGTGAGTGAGAGAGTGAATGGTTGTTTGTCTCGTTTGTCTCTATGTGGCCCTGTGATGGACTTGCGACCCGTCCAGGGTGTACCCCGCCCCTCGCACAGTGATTGCTGGACATGGGCACCAGCGACCCCCGTGACCCAAAGTGGAACAAGCGGGTAAAGATAATGGATGGATGGATGGATGATGGAATCCCCGATGGAGCCTCTCCCAGGACATCATCTAATGACTCCCAGAAAGGCTGGGTAATCTGGTGATATCCTGATGCATGCTCAATAATCCTGCTCACAATGCTGTGATTGCTGGTATCACTCAACCCCCTTTGAGTAGTAAACAGCCATCAGTGTGCTAATGATCCTTTGTTAGGCTGATGGTCCTTCTTGAGCATGTGATCAGCTGGTTTTGGTTGTCAGCAGCAAAACTGGCTGATCCACTCTGAGAAGGTGCTATTTAAGAGACTGAGCTGAAAACAGCAGCTCAGACTGAGGAAGTCTCTTGGATGAGAGACGAAACGTTTCTACATTTTTTTTTTTTTTGCTTTGTTTTGTTTTTTGTTTTTTTGAATGTCCAGAGGACCAGATTGAACTTTCTTGGGTAATCTGGTGATGTTTGGTGCATGAGCACAAACAGTCAGAACTTTCTCTCCTACAGCCCGAAGTCGCAGAAAGTCAACCATCATGTTCACGAGGGGAAAGTCCAACACTGAGACCTTCAGTCAGGGGCTCCTTAGTATTCCCCCACCCGCCTCATGCTTCTCTCCCTGGGCAATCTGGAGTAGGAGAGAGTCCAACCTCTCTCTAGGAGTTGAATTCCAGATCCCAAGTTGTGTGTAAAGGTGAGCCCAACTACTGTATATCTATTTGGTACTGCTCAACCTCATACACAAGCTTTGGCTCCTTAACCACCAGTGAGGTGACGTTCCACGTCCCTTGAGCTTAGCCTATGCCACCAGAAATCAGCATAGCCAGGGACTCTCCCTCACCTGCCACCTGGCATTCACAGCACCCGACCATGACAGACCTCCCTGCAGGTGGTGAGTCCACATGGAGGCGGATTCCTGTTCTTTTTTCGGGCATGGCCCGGCCGAGCCCCAGGAGCCAAGGTTTGACCACCAAATGCTCCCCAATGAGCTCCACGTTCAGGCCTGGTTCCAGGGTGGTGCCCTGGTTTTCCTGTTCCAGGTGAGGTTTATGATGTAACTATTGTTAATCCATTAAGGTTTTGGATCGCTTAGTCTGACAATTCCCCTGAGGCCTGCTAGCCATGCGAGACCCTACCAGGGGCTAATGCCCCGGACAACAGAGGCCCCAGGATCACAGGAGTACTCAAACATCTTCAACACGTTAAAGTGATGATTCTGCAGAGGGGATTTTTTTTTTATGAATCCAGAAAATTTATATTAAAAATTCATATGTAGGACATGTTTTTTTAATAACAAGCAAAACCTAAATTATTCTGGATTTAAATTCTACTTTAGTGCATATGTTGTTTTAGTTATTTTCTATTAGCATTTAAATTGAAAATATAATTCTCCGTTCACTGTTTAACTTGTGTCAGAGATACACACAGCTAAATGCTGGCATTTGAAAGTATAATGTGTAAAACTGAATGTTTTTATACGTTTTAATAAAACCATCATGTTGCGTTCCTTTAAGGTAATCACTGGTGGAAATTTAGTTGTTCATTCTGTACTGTTTGTTTATGGTGAATAGGTCGTAACGGTAAAAAAAATTAACAAACAAGAAACATATTGAACCTGTCAACTCACTGAGTCACTGTGTGTGAACCCCCTCCCTTCACACTGTTTAAAACCGGTCCAGTTGCCTCTTTCTGGGCGTCTCCTTCAGTCACTTAAGCGAAGTCATTTAAGCGGGAAGATCAGGCCTGTTCAAACCTGCACAAAGGAAGAAAAGATGGACTTATATGTGGATTTTAAAGCTAAGATCATCATACTTTTGACATGAAATGTCCCTCATCGAGCTGTCTGCACTTTTCTTATGCTTCAACCTTACAGATGGACTGTGACTGTAAGACTGTGATGTTTTTTAAGAGCAAATGTATTAAAATTTGAGTTAACAAAGTGAGAAAAAAACTGTCCTGCTTCTTTATATAAAGAATATGATGATGCTGTTGTTCTACATAAACATTTCCTTTCAGATTTTATTCTCCCGTTACCATTTTTGTGTACATTTTTTATGTTGCTTTATGTTTAAACTCTCATGAAAGCCAAATTTTATATTACCCAAACTATTGCATGGAAATAATATGTTTAGATGTGCTTTGAGAAGGTTTCAAGGGCCTTGACGATGCCCATTATAAAAATATGAAAACGATTTACCCTGATTTAAAAACTACAATGAAACTGGATTTTGTGCTCCTTATGCAACCTTACAAGATCCAGTCTAACCAGCAGTGATTAGAAGCTGCTGGTTTTGAAACAGGATGGCTCCAAAGCATAGAGCGTGTCTGCAGCACCCCAAGACACTAAGCTAAAGGAGGGAGGCAGAAGACATGAGAGCATCTTCTTCAAGTGGCTGTTTTCTCCTCTTGGGTCACCACAGCAAGTCATCCTCCTCCATCTCTGTCCTCTGCATCCTCTGTCCTTACTCCAACTATCTCCATGTCCTCTCTAACTGTATCCTCTTTGGTCTTTCTTTTTGTCTTTTTCCTGGCAGCTGCATTTCTAACATCCTTCTACCAATATACCCACTGTCCCTCCTGTGGACACGTCCAAACCATCTCAGTCTGGACTAGAAAGGCCCCAATGATGAACTACTCTGTGAACGTCTCAGGCAGCAGAAACCCAACGTGGAAGAGGACGAACAAGATGAATCATCAGGATAATCTTGATAGACCAACAGCAGATTAAAGAAGTGGTTGATGTCAAGAACTCCTACCAATGCCTGGAGAAAGCTGAACGGAGGGACAGCTGTTTGTAATGTAACCAGGGAACACCATGTAAATGTGAATTCAGAGCTATTGTTTTAAATTTGTAGTGGTGAGATGGATATTTAGGTGGATGTAGACAGTAAATAGTCAAGAATTATTGCATTTTTGTACAACAAATAATTTAAAAAATGTACACTTAAAAATAAATCATTTAGTCATGTTGCATTGCTGTGTTTTGACAGAAGTGAAAAATAATAAGAGACTAATATTTTAGGGGTGTACGACACGGTGAAATTTACATCTCAGGTTTGTTGAGCTAACAGGTTTTTGACATCACACAGGTAGCCAGTTTAGTCCAGATAACAAATCTATTATCTTGTTTATTCCTTTAAATAATTTTGTGCCCTATAAACATGAAAACATGCCCTCCAGATGTCTTCAAGTTTTGATGTTTTGTCGTCACAACAGCTCAACTTAATCATTAAAGGACATGCATATCCAAATAATACAAAAAGTAGAAGTAAGCATCCTACTGTTTAAGCAATTTAACATAATACACAATTTTACACATTTTGTCACATAACTGGCAACATTTTTTTTAAACTTGGTGCAGCCAGAGTGAACCAGGAAGTGACATCAAATGGGAACTCCTCAAAATGGGGAACTCCTTGGTTTGGTTTATATAAATTCGAACTTCTCTTCTTCTCGCCCTGATAGAGATAAAAAATAATCTACATAAATATCAGATTATTTGCTGCTGTCTGTGTTGTCAACCACTGTAACAATCCTCTTTTTGCAATTTGTCGCCACTTCCTGTTACTGCACATGTGAGTATCTCAACAACTGTTCATCTCAGCAGAGTGATTTTCTATTTATTTTTTGCAATACGTTATTAATGTTATCTTCTTCAAAAATACATTCATATTTATTACTAGAATTTGACATCACTGGCGCTTTAATACAACAGTTTTGTGCATTCACCCTCTCGTTTATATTCTCCATTTATATCTGTTCATACAACCTGATATTTTTAATCATACAAAAAAAAGAAGTGTTTATGTGAAAAGTTCTGGATAGAAAAGCTTGAATTATCAAATGATCATAAACATTATGAGGGTGTATCATGCATCAGGATAGTATGAGGGTGTGTTCTTCATTGGGTGGAGTTTTAGGTTTTGTTGAGCCAGTAAATAACAAAAAAACTCTACTCTTGTTGAACTTCTATTATTTTTTTATCTGTTTGTAAATTATACCTTCACACTATCAGCTATTATTTAGATTTAACAATTTCCTCAAAAAGAACGGCAGAGCCATCATTAAGTTGTTTTTTTCTCCACGTGCTCGTCCTTGTCTTGTCCTCAGAGGGCGTTAACCTGAGCGGCGCTAGGACCCTGAGGAGGAGGAGGAAGGGTCACCGACCAACAGCTGGGAGCAGGCAGGATTCATTACGGCTGGAATTTGGACAAAGTTCCTGTCAAACTACATTTTATATCTGGTGAGGGGCGCACTGAGTGAACACATTCACCTGCGGTGTTTAAAACAAGCAGAGAACAGCCTGATTTGTTGCGTTTATGTTGTCTTTTCCCGTTTCGTTGCTGCTGAAAAACACCTGCGTGGTTCAGGTGAACTCCCTGATGAAGAGGGAAGTCCTCGCGCTCTGAGCCGTGAAAGGTAAGGCCTCTGTCAGACCTCTGGACTCAGTCTGAGCTCGATGTGTTGGGACATTTCATAGCGTTTCTTGGTGGTTAAGGAGACCTGACCCCGCGGACGTAGAGACTTTGATGAGGGTTGTTTGATGGGGCAGGTCCACCCTCTGAAGTCACTTCCTACTTTAAAATAAATAAATAAATGTAAGCCTCAGGTTGAAGGACAAAGATCGCACATTTGAATGCCCCATAAACCTTGTTGGTCGGGTTAAACTGACACAATTTCCAACTTTTTTATTGTTAGAAAAGCGGGCACGCCCACGCGCACTGCCCCGCACAGGCCCTGCCCCGCACAGGCCATGCAACATGCATGATAGAAATCCAGTGTGTGACAAAAGCATGCTGCAGACCATCATGCTTCTGAGGCTGCAGGTGTAGTCACAGAGAAATGAATGAATGAGAGATCCAACCATCAAAAATCCAACTTGTTCAGCAACTTGTGCTTCTGTCAAATCTGTTAACTTTAGGAGATTATCCTATTACATGATGTACTATATTAATATCTTCTATGTAAACCATGACGTAATAAAATATTGATTAGGATGCTGTTTTTAAGTTGGTATTTTGGGCATTTTAAGATTTCTATAAAGTACGAATAAAGAAAAAATGTTTTCCTGAAAATATCAAATGGTTCAGTTTGAAATAATGTATTCCAGTTGTTTTCCAGACCCATTGATCTGCAATTCTGACATGTGGGTCTGCACTCACTGTAAAGCACTCACTGTAAAGCACTGAGATGAAAACCATGTGGAAGCCGAGTCCTTAGGCTGGCTGTAGACCGTGTATCTAAAGAAATATGGCTGAATAAGATGTATAAAATCTAAATACTTGTTAGATATATAAGCGTGAATCTGCTGCTGAACTCAAAACAAATCTGGGTGTAAATGTGTACCAAAATTATCAAGCTTCTAATGGTTCCCATTCTCACACGTGCACTCACTTACCTTGGCTGAAAGTCGGCCGTAGCAAGACGGAGTACATGTGTGTGAATGAAAGGGAGGCCGGTGGAACAGTGAGGCTACAAGGAGCAGAGGTCACAAAGGTGCAGGACTTCAAGTACTTGAGGTCCACTGTCCAGGAAAATGGGGAGTGTGGTAAAGAAGTGAGAGAGTCCAGGCAGGATGGAGTGGATGGAGAAAAGTTTCAAGAGTGATACGAGACAAAAGGGTGTCAGAAAAGGTCAAAGGAAAAGTTTACAAGACAGTGGTGAGACCAGCTATGTTGTATGGTCTGGAGACCGTGGCATTGACAAAAAGACAGGAGAAAGAACTGGAAGTGGCAGAAATGAAAAAGTTGAGGTTCTCGTTAGGAGTGACAAGGATGGATAAGATTAAGAATGAGATCATCAGAGGTACAGCACAGGTTGAACAACTGGGAGATGAAGTTCGAGAGACCCGACTGAGATGGTTTGGACATGTCCAGAGGAGGGACAGTGGGTATACTGGTAGAAGGATGTTAGAAATGCAGCTGCCAGGAAAAAGACAGATGAGATATATGGATGCAGTTAGAGAGGACATGGAGGTAGTTGGACTGAGGATGCAGAGGACAGAGTGAGATGGAGGAGGACAACTCGCTGTGGCACCCCCGAAGAGCTAAAAGCCGAAAAAAGAAAAATGTGGTTTATTTATTTTTACTAGGTTTATGACTTTGCAATAAGTACATTTTAAAAGTAGTTGTGCACATTTCTAGTTTGAGATCATCAGTAAAAAGGTGCAATGCTTTGAGTTGATGCCTGTATCATTTAAACGTTTCTTAAACGTGCTTTCTTATGATTGTCTTCTGTTGCCATCTGTGTTTTTTGTTTAAAACAGGTTTCTCTTGTAAATTAATCCTCTAGGCTCAATGAGACTAACCTGAATAAATAAAGTTTGAATTGAATGTTTCTTTTCAAAAGAACCACTGCCTTGTAGTCTTGCACAACTTAAAACATTTTACTTTTTGGCCCTCCCTTATTGCAAAAGTAAATTCTCTCCTAAAAATGAATGAAATAAAATGACCATTTAAGTTTGATAGAAGTAAAAAAATGAAAGGATGAGAATACACTTATACCGTATATTGGTGTAAACATTTGATGAAGCTGCCTCATGGTGCATAAATGAGCTTTCAGTTTTGTGTTTTTCTCATAGAAAACACGGCACAAAAATTCAAACCATCACCAACCTTTTCTTTGCCATTTTATTATTATTTAGCTTGATCTGGGATTTTAAATCAGTTTCAGTTCAGTATAATTACATATATCTTGTTATTGACTGTATTTGTGTGTCAAAGCCCTCTTGATAAGATTATATTGTTCACCAACTTAAAACGATAATTGCTCACCAGTAAAATATCAAACTTCACTTCAGGCTTCTTATCAGCGCCTTGACCGAACCAATAAATGTGCACCTCACACATCTGGAGGAGGTTCAAGTGCTGTGTTTGAAAACATAACTCATTTGAATGGTAAATGTTGTTCCTATGATAGTCTGTAGTTTATAGTTATTTGTGCAGGAATAAAAATGTAAATTTGTTAAGTGGTTAAAATACACAAGAATTCTGAGTTTATTTAAACTAGTGGTTCCCAACCCTGGTCCCTGAGGAACACCATCCTGCATGCTTTGACACACCTGATTTGAATGATTTGATGATTCACAGACTTTATCAGAACTTGAAGTAATTCATTGAATCAGGTGTGTTGAAGCAGGGAAACGGCTAAAACATGCAGGGTGGTGTTCCTCAGGGACCAGGGTTGGGAACCACTGATTTGAACTACAAAAGACAAACTAGCACAGGAATCCTCCGATGTGCTGTCTACATGAATATTGTGATTTTTAAGCTTCAAGAATCATTTAATCTGTAACTCAAACATGTCTAATGCAATACACAAAGTGCAGTTTACATGTAAAACATTTACCTAATGACAAATTTAAAAGAAAACAATAAAATAACATTTCATTAAACATAGTTGAGCTTGAATCAAATGTCAGTGAGAAGATGGCCTTAGTGTTTGAAGCTGTTTTGAAGCTTATTTGAGAAGTTTTTAGATTAATGGGTACATTTTTTTTTTCATAGCTGAAAACCATCCCTTTGCAAAATCTTCTGGGTACATCTGGTTGATTTGTTTGAGTTCCAACTGGTGTGTGACACGGAGTAGAACTCCATAGTTTTTTTTTTTTTTCATTCAACCTTTATTTAGATAGGTTAATCACATTGAGCCTCGGGGACTGATTTACAAGAGAGACCTGATTATTAGGTCTGAGTCATCAAACCTTAAATATTCAAAAGATCTAAAAATCAAACAAGAATCCATCAAAACGGCAAACACCTCTGCTTTAAAGGTAAATTAAAATAATTTCTATGCAACAAAAGAAATCACCAAAGATGACATAAGCTGAAGTACTGCAAGTATAAAAAAATGTATGTATAGGATTTATTGAAACTGGTACAAGAAACAAGTCATGAAAGTTGCATTCTGATGAAAACTGGCAGTTTCTTTATTTATAGAGCACATTTAAAAATTTCTGTGACTGACCAAGATGCTGTTCATTAAAGGGTAAAGAAGTTCCACTTCTTCTTTCGGCTGCTCCCTGCGTTAGGGGTCGCCACAGCGAACTAAGTCGCACGAAGAAAAAAAGAAACTAAAGCTAAGAAAGCAATAAAATATTTCTAGTGTATTTTTAAATCAAAGCCAACAAAAACCCGTTGTTGAATAAAAGCTTAAGTTTCAAATAAAGGAAGTTCTTTTTGTTTTTAATTACTGAGCCAATTGGTTTCTGCACTCAAAATCAGTAATGTGCCTTTTTTAATGAGCCTTTACCATACCCAGATTTCTAAAGGGGCTGCAGGTATCGCTGGGTCCAAAACTGAGGACTCACATTTTCTCCTCATTAAAGTTGTGAAAGTTTAAAGCCGTTCTATCTTGAATATCTGACAGACTGTTAAAAGACGTTTTAAGTGTCACAGAATTGTTGTGCTCTAGTTGTAAGTGCATCTGGGTATCATCCGAGTAGCCTACCAGGGAGCATACAAATGAATAAAAGTTGTCCAAGAATACGACCCTGAGGAACTCCAATGAAGAGGAGCTTGAAGAGAAACTGATTCACCAATGCTCCTACAAAACCTCCCATTAAACTCTCAAATCGAATCTCCCTATCAAAGTATAACATTTCAAAACTAAATCTGTAACCTGCAGTGAATGGATAAAAAAAATATATGCTCAAGACTCTAGTTGCATGAGCTGCCGTTACGCTGCGCGATGCCAACATCATTACTCAGACGGCAGTTGTGTCACTTTTCTACATTCCATGTAATTTCTCTCTGATTTTGTCTCTCTGGCTCGTTTTTGTCATGTTTAGACATGTTTGGACACTGAACTTCTGTTTTCCTTTACCCATTTTCTTACACCTGCAACTTGTTTTCCGTTTCACTCACTCTTCAAAAATGTAGTGGTCTGAACACCACGTCTGTTGAATCTTTAAGTTTGGTTCTGTTGCCAACTGTTAAACTCATATAATCCCAGCAACATGGAGCACATATTAAAATGTGCTGCAATTTCATTTTAAATTAAAATGTTTTTTGTTTTCTGCATCAGTTTGTCCTGCAGGTATGTGTTCCAGTCGAAGTATATGTGGGGACAATGACCGATCCTCCAACTCCGAATCTGGATTTTCAGGAGCTCACTATGCCCTCTGTGCCCTTGGAATTGGACTCGTTGCCCTCGGGATTGTCATGATAGTTTGGACTGTGATACCTGAAGAATCGGTCTCAGTGACGTCTCCAACTTCATCAGGCAACTTCACTTCAACCCCTTCAACCCCTACTGATGCTGACAAAGACCGCACAAAGTCCTCGTCTGTGGCGCTGGTGCTGGTCGGAGTGGGGATAGTAATGTTGCTGTTGTCCATTTGCCTCGGTATAAGGAGCAAGCGGAGAGCTCAGAGAAGAAGCAACCAGACGGCGACAGCAGCAGCCCCCTATCGAGTGGCGGGACAGGAGGAGTCGTGAGTTATTCCCAAATATTTTATGAGATGCAGCCAGTAATTAGTTTGACAATTTTGGAGAAGTATTGTGCAAGTTCCTCCAAATCCGAGGCCATGGTCTTGAGCCGGAAAAGGGTAGAGTGCCCTCTCCGGGTCAGGGAGGAGGTCCTACCCCAAGTGGAGGAGTTCAAGTATCTCGGGGTCTTGTTCACGAATGGGGGAAAAATGGAGCGTGAGATCGATAGGCGGATAGGTGCAGCGTCTGCAGTGAAGCGGGCGCTGTACAGGTCTGTCGTGGTGAAGAGAGAGCTGAGTCAAAAGGCGAAGCTCTCAATTTACCGATCGATCTACGTTCCCACCCTCATCTATGGTCACGAGCTTTGGGTTGTGACCGAAAGAATGAGATCTCGGATACAAGCGGCCGAAATGAGTTTTCTCTGCAGGGTGTCTGGGCTCTCCCTTAGAGACAGGGTGAGAAGCTCGATCATCCGGGAGGGACTCGGAGTAGAGCCGCTGCTTCTCCACGTCGAGAGGAGCCAGTTGAGGTGGCTTGGGCATCTGTTTAGGATGCCTTCTGGACGCCTCCCTGGTGAGGTGTTCCAGACACGTCCCACCGGAAGGAGGCCCAGAGGAAGACCCAGGACACGCTGGAGGGACTATGTTTCTCGGCTGGCCTGGGAACGCCTCGGGATTTCCCCGGAAGAGCTGGCCCAAGTGGCTGGGGAGAGGGAAGTCTGGGCCTCCCTACTTAGGCTGCTACCCCCGCAACCCGACCCCGGATAAGCGGAAGAAAATGGATGGATGGATGGATTGTGCAAGTTCAAGCATTCCACGTCTGGATATTGCATCTAGATGTGCTCTGCTGCCCCAAATAGAAACAACTATATTTGCAGGATGTGTCGTTTGGTCCAATTTTACACAAGAAAAGCTTGAAGCAGCCCTAAAGAACAAAATTTGCACTGAAGTCTGTGCTCTGCTTTTAGGGTTTGAGTGTTTTAACCAAGTTTTTAAGAAACTATGTGATTAAGTCCATCCATCCATCATCAGCTGCTTGTTCAGGAGTCAGGTCGTGAGGACAGCACCTTGAGTAGGGAGGCCTAGACATCTACAGGTCCTTCTCAAAAAATTTGCATATTGTGATAAAGGTCATTATTTTCCATAATGTAATGATAAAAATGAAACTTTCATATATTTCAGATTCATTGCACACCAACTGAAATATTTCAGGCCTTTAATTGTTTTAATACTGATGATTATGGCATACAGCTCATGAAAACCCAAAATGCCTGTCTCAAAAAATTAGCATATCATGAAAAGTTTCTCTAAACAATCTGTAAAATCATTCAACCTTTTATTTATACAGGTTAGTCTCATTGAGCCTCGAGGACTCATTTACAAGAGAGGCCTGTTTTTAATGAAGAATGGTGACGCAGTAAGCAACAATAACAACAATAGACAATCGTAAAAAAAGTATATAAATTGAAAAAATAAATGGAAGAAAATTATATTTAAAAACGAAATAAAAACGGCTAGGTTGTAAAGCGATGTAGAATATGAAAAACAGGAACATGTCTGCATTTTTTTCCCAGGAACTTAACAGATCTTTGAAGCCACTTGGAGAGGTTAAGGTTGAGAGCTTCAGATCTTTTTGCAAGATATTCCAGGAAACGGGGGCAGAGTAGGAGAAGGTCCTTTTGCCTAGTCCAGTTCTCACAGAGGGAACACTGCAGGTAAAAATGTCCTGAGAGTGCACGCTGTAGCTGCACTCACACAGTGACATGTAGGAGGAGATGTATGAAGACAACAGACCCAAGAAGTGATTTAAAGATGAAAATGTACCAGTGGGAGAGACTGTGTGAAGTTAATGATGACCAGTTAACCAGTGAAAACAGGGTGCAATGGGTGCTCATTTCTTGTGCCGTCCAGCTCGCACCGAATCCTAACACCAGCCAATAAAGTTAGGAAGGTCTATCTCATCATTGGTCCACTGCACTATTTTTGGAGCTTCCATACCAGAAACAGTAAAAACAAGACGCACTCAACACGATCAGAGTGGAGGTTCGGATGTAGTTTGTAAGCTCAGTCATCCTGGTAGATAACAACAAAAAAGGTTAAATCATGTCATCTGGACCAGTTTCTTGAAGGGAGAAACATTTCATCTTCCATCCGGAAGACTTCATCAGTCTGCAGCCTGCCAACCAGATCTCTCCCGCTGTGTTTCAAGCGAACCTACCTGGATGATTGAGTTTACAAACTTTTTTTCTGAACCATTTTGGCCTTTGTGTCCTCAGGCTGTTTCTGTGAGTAGCAAGTTGGCCATCTGGCCTAAAACCTTTGATTGTTATGCATGATGATCGATTGTTTTGGGCGGATGGGTCCTTTAGCAAAGCCTGCTTCTGAGGTTCCAACAGGAGACTGGCTTGAAACACAGCAATAGCTATGTTTACATGGACAAATAAATCGGATCCAGCCGTTTGGAATAAAAATGTGTCGTGTAAATACCCCGTTAATTTGTGATCGGAACAAAATGGGTGGTTTACGCGGATTCATAACCCGAACGGTGCACATGTAAACGCTCGATCTGTTCTTCTTTTTTTTTTTTCTGATGGTGGAAAACTGACCTGACGGCGCATGTGCAACCTGTCATTTCCACCTGGGTAATGCTAATAATATTAGCATGTCGGGGAAGCAAAACTGGTCGGTGAGCGACACATTTCTACTAGAAACTTAAAAAGAGCTCAAAATGATCTGCATTACCTGTAGCTCAGTCAGGGAGTGCTGTAATGTCTCCGCCGTCATTAAAACCTGTCGCGGGTCCATTTTGGGTGCTCAGGTTTGTTTACATTTATCCTGGAAGTAAACCGGAAGTATAACTACTTCTTCTTCTGTTGTTGTTTTTTTTTAAGGAGAGTTTACCACTCTGCACATGCCAGTACTTCTGTTCAGAACAAAACCCGCTGCATGTAAACACTCGTCATGAACAGATTGTGCCCATGTAAACGATGCATTTGAATTATTTAATCTGAAAACATTTCAATCCAGTCTAAACATTTTGCACATTCATAGCTAATGAAGGCTACTTATGGGGCAGATCTGGTTTGCAGGCTGCAGCCTGATGAAGTCTTCCGGATGGAAGACAAAACGTTTCTCCCTTAAAGAAACTGGTCCAGATGACATGATTTAACCTTTTTAGGTTCAGATGTAGTTTCCAGTTTTGCTGGGGGAGGGGTCATCCAGTGACGTAGCTCCACTGACCAATTAACAGCTGCTGTCTGCTTATGTCAAAATCGTCACCTCGGAGCAGCTTGCTTGGAACCCTGACCAAGATGGTCTCATAAACCGGGCTGTGTGTGGGTACTGGCTGTGGGCAGACCCTTAAGTGGTGCAGAACCGATAAGAGTTGAGACCGTGGCAAAGCACCAATGGTCTCTCCAGCATGTCCTGGGTCTCCTCCCAGTTGGACTTGCCTCTAAGGAGGCAACCAGGTGGCATCTTTACCAGAAACCTGAACCGAATCAGTCGGTTCCTCTTGATGTGGAAAAGCAGCAGCTCCGTTCCGAACATCAGCTTACCCAATGTTATGAGCTAGCATTTAGCAACACGGCTCTAAAATGACTACTTTGTAAGTTTCAGCTTAAAGCTAATGTTTAATTTTAATGAACAGGAATAACTATTTATTTCTGACAAAGTTTAAAAAAACATTTTTTAAAGTGTATCTTTGTTCTTAAGTTTTAGCAATAAATCAACTCTGCTGGGCCCACACAGTTGAACCATTGCATACACAGTTTGTTTTCTTGTCTTTTAAAATAAACTTGGGACAGAATATGTCCACACTTGTCTACACTATGTCCGTTCTTGATTTCACAAGTGTTCCTTTACCCTACCTTAGATAAATAATGTTACTACCAGTAATTAATTTTTTATGTATATGAATGTTTCTGTTCAGTGCCTTGAGGTGACCTCTGTTGTGACTTGTACTATATAAATAAACTGAATTATTTTCAGTTTTACCTCATTTTGATAACCTTGTCAGAAAAGTTTGGTGCAGCAGATCTTTTACACTCAAACTTTGAGACGGCAGCGAGTTAGCAGTAATACACAAAAGCATTTCAATGGCCAACAATTGCTATTTTATTTAAGAGGAGATGGAGACATTAAATGGCACTTCTTTCATCTCTTTTCAGAAGTGTAGACCCATCTTTGTACAACGTGCCGAGCTATGAGGAGGCCGTCGGCAGCGGAAACTACCCCGTCCGCCAGAGCAACCTGAGGCATAGCACCTCACAGCTGCCATCTTACGAGGACATTCTAGCAGCCGTGGAAAACGAGGGAAGGGACCAGCCTAACAACTCCACTGAGGACGCCCCTCTTAACGATCAAGGACCGACCTCTGTTCCACCAGACGCCGAGCCCGGTGCCGAGTCCTCCGGCCTCGCACCAACCCCCAGCCTGCCCACACGCAGCGCTAGCCGAGCCAGCCGTTTCCTGAAGCCCCTCCGTGTGAGGAGAATAAAATCGGACAAACTGCACCTTAAAGACTTTCGCCTCCAGATCCGCAGCCCCACGCAGAACCCAGTGACCATTGAACCCATCACCCCGCCCCCACAGTATGAAAACAAGATGCCCGAGCTACAGTGATAACCTGATGATTCCCCAAATGGTGAAATGTTGAATAGATTTAGATTTAAAGGACCAATCTTGATATTTGTATCTTCTGGTGAATTTTTGTTTTAATTTTTTTATTATTGTAGTTTATGATTGGCATAATTATTCAGTCATAATACGGTTTTACTTCTGTGAAAAATAATCCCCTTTAAGAATTTTTTTAACCAAATTTATGTCAAAAATAGAACGTTTTAGTTTTATTTATAAGCCAAGTTGAATGGTTATCTACAGAAATATTGTTGTGTTGTTGCTTTAACATAGAAATATCAAACATCCTGTGGTTTAAATGCAAAACCTGAAAGCCATTTATGTAGGAAATCTTTAGAAAGTTTAAAAATTGGCTAACAGAACGCAGCCTTTGAAAGCCTCAACCTCTGATTTAGTGTTTGTTTTTAAATCTTTTGTCATTTACTAAAAGGTTTTCAATAGAAAATTTCAATAGAAAGGAGTGGGAAAATAATTTTAAAGCATAAATGAATAGTTGGAAGTGTTGTGAAATTAACATGTTTTGCTTCGTGAACATTTAGTTTGTTGTTGAAATAGTTTTTTTAAGTGTTGCAATATCTGCAAAATGGTGGTGAATATGTGTTTTTCTATTTCTTTTAGGTTCAGATCAGTTTTCATCAGTTTTATTTGTTGTTATTCTACAAAAAAATCTAAACAAATCCTTTTTCATAAGTGGAAACAAAAAATTGTGTTGCAACCTTTAAGTTTTTTAAATCCTATTTTGCATGGCGTACATTTTTCTATTGTATTTATTTGGTATTGAGAATCATTTGTGTTAACTTTTGGTTAATAAAATTTAAATGTTAAAGGCTTTGATATGATTTTTAATGTGTCAAATTTTGTCTAAATTTGCATAAAATCCTAAATTCCATTTTGTTTCCATTTACTGCCCCCTAGTGACTCAAAAAGTCAATTTTACATATTTTACTTCCTACTTTTTTTTTTTTAATATTTACTGTAATTTCATCTGTACAAGTAAATAATCCCGATATAGAGTGATATTGTGCAAATGGCAAAAAGGTTTTGACAAATAATAAAGGAAGATGAAATGTTCTTTTTGTCAAAGACCCTTTTAAGAAAAATAACTAAGGCAACACTGAAACACGTTAAAACTGTAATAAAACTGAATTTCAAATTAAAGTTGAGCAGCAAATTGTTTAAAAATCTTGAAATTGGTGAGTTACGTGCAACAGCCAGAGCCTGGATTTATAAAAGTTGTGCTTTTATTCATTTAATTTTGCGAAGTTTAAAACATTTCCTTATAATTCTCATAATTCAAAAGAAACATGAATTTTCTCAAGTTTTATGCAGAAAAGAAATGTAAATGTCTAAAGAGGTGCTGATTATTAATGCAATCTGTTAATTTACACAAGTGTAAATTCACTTAAACCAAATAGTTAAATGACTCAAATCGGTAATTTTACTTTTAATTTTTAGAGTTGAACATGAACCTGCATGAAAACATTTCAACTATTTATAATTAAGTTTTTGACTGAAAAAAGTTTTCCACCTTTTATTATGTATATTTTAATCATTATTTTTCTTTCTTGTGGAAAACATGATTATCAACATGTAATAAATAGTTATGATCAATTTTTTTTTATCTGTTTAGATTGTGCAGCAGCAAACCAGCAAAGCCTCCTACAAATTTCCTTTTATTTTTAGCTCAACACAAAGTGAAGCATTAATAAAATAAGTTAATGAACATAAAATAACTCTTGCATGTAAGTGTAACTGACTAACAAAAAGCAACAAAATGCTAATGCACAAAAATAAAATTGCACCAACATAAAATGCTCCCAGTCAAGAAAATTGACCAGTCATCATATATCAGGCTTATTTACTGCAGGACAATGTTCAAATCAATTTTTAATTTAGATCAGATTTAAAAAGATTAAACTGAAATATTAGGCTATATAAAAGCTGCACAGTTCAAGTTTTTTCTTTATTTGTTACAAAAAAGACAGTAAAAGATCAGATTTTTTTAAAGTCGTGAGTTTGAATTCATATTTTCTCTGTCAACTTCATTTTAGCAGCTCCACCCTCGCCTCCTTTAGAAGGAGTTTTTTTTTTTTTTTTTCCTGTGCAGCTGCCATGAAGCAGAGGGAGGAACAGCTGGCTGACGGAAGAGCCAGCCCGGGGAGTCAGTCACATTCCTGGCTGGGATTCAATGACTGAACCAGACACAAACAAACACACACACACACACAGAGAGAGAGAGAGAGAGACTCACACACTGACTGACTGAGGGGGGAGACAGGCGGAGAGTGCGCCAGACTGAGCAGACGACGCTTATTTCGGGCGCAGAGTGCGTAAAACCGCAGGAGCGCTGTAACATTTGGAACCCGCTCATTGTGCGGGATAATACGAGCTTTCCGACTCGGCGTTGACGACTTTATTTTTGCTTCCGTTTACAGGAACTGAGCCCTGTGATTTCAGCAGCTTTCAATTTTCTGAATGGACGCGTTGGGAAGCTTCTCCACCGACATGGAAATGCGCCTTTCCGAGCGCATTGCCGGATGCTGAGGTCGCCCCCCACCCCACCCCTCCCCCCGAACCTCTACCCCACTTTACTTCCAGTTTTCGTTTTGAGTTTTCAACTCTCGTCTCCAGCCCACGACAAAACATGGAAGGCACGAGCTTCCAGCCCCATCCCGGACTTCAGCAAACTCTGAAGCAGTTTCACCTCAGCTCCATGCGCTCGCTCGGCGGCCCGGCGGCGTTCTCCGCGCGGTGGCACCAGCAGCAGGACGCGCTCTTCGGGAAAGATGGCAAGTCCGCGGAGATGATGCTCTCCCTGCCGGCCCAGACGCCCCCGGTCATGTCCGGCCCACTTTTCATCCCGTCCGACCGCTCCACGGAGCGCTGCGAGACGGTGCTGGAGCGCGAGCCCATCTCCTGCTTCGTGGTCGGCGGGGAGAAGCGCCTGTGCCTGCCGCAGATCCTCAACAGCGTCCTGAGAGACTTCTCCCTGCAGCAGATCAACTCGGTGTGCGACGACCTGCACATCTACTGCTCCAGGTGCACGGCGGACCAGCTGGAGATCCTGAAGGTGGTGGGCATCCTGCCGTTCTCGGCGCCGTCCTGCGGGCTCATCACGCAGACGGACGCGGAGCGCCTCTGCAACGCGCTCATCTACGGCGGCTCGTACCCCCCGCACTGCAACAAGGAGCTGGGCTCCCTGGAGCTGGAGCGAACCGAGAAGAGCTTCAAGGTGTACCACGAGTGTTTCGGCCGGTGCAGGGGCCTGTTCGTGCCGGAGCTGTACGCCGGTCCGGCCGCCGCCTGCATCCAGTGCATGGACTGCAGACTCATGTTCCCCCCGCACAAGTTTGTGGTGCACAGTCACAAGAGACTGGAGAACCGGACAGTCCACTGGGGCTTCGACTCAGCCAACTGGCGGGCCTATGTGCTCTTGGACCCGGACTACACGGACAAGGAGGAGAAAAGTCACCTGGAGCAGCTGCTCAAAGAGTTAAAGAGAAAGTACGATGTGATGGGGAAGGTGTCCAGTAAATCCTGCAGAGTAAGTGTTGTTGTTTGTGTTTGTTTCAACAGCCCCAGTCTTCCCTCTGCACTGGTTCTGTTTCCCTCCTCATTAAACCTGACACATTCCTCTGAGTTTTCCAGACTTTCCTGACTTCTTGGTCCACCATAAAGCACAGCTCACCTCACAACCTCATATATGTCAAAGGAAGGCTCGATCCCCTGCCCCCTCCCCTAAAGGCACCATTCTAAAGCCCCCCCTCTCTCCCCTCAGGGTAACCCAAGGTCATCTGCATTATAATGAGTGAACTCTCATGTATTTATGAGTGTGTGTGTGTGTGTGTTGTGGGGGATCAGTGTCATAAGGTGGGGATGGGAAGGGGTGTGATGAGGTTCAGAATATGGAAATGTGTATTTGTGTGTGGGAATAAAAGCATGGGGGTGGTGGGGGTTTGCGTGGGTCAGAGATGTTTGTGGCCAAGAGACGAGGTGTCTGATTGTTCGTCACAGAGCAGCTGTTCTGTGGGACTCTGATCTGAATGCATCACCGTGGCTCTGCTCCAGTCTGAGGCCGAGCCAAGAGATGGCTCACGCACGGAAAGCTCAATTCTTGGTTTGAACATTTTAAAAAGAAAAGAAAAAAAATAAATGCTGATAACATTTATGTTCTGATGGGCCTTAAAGATGATTCTCATGTTTCGTCAAGACTTGTGTGCAGTTGAGAAATCTTTCTACATTATCTTCTTGACCACCCCAAATCTGACAACGTTGGGGCCATCGTGTAAAATATAAATGAAAACAGAATGCAGTGATTTGCAAATTTCATAAACACTTTTTGTTTTTATTGAAAATGGAACATGGTGAACATCAAATGCTAAAATAAACTGTACAAAAAAGGAAAAGTCATTCTAAATTTGATGGCATCACATCCCCAAAAAGTTGGAACTGGGGCAACAAAACGCTGTAAAAGTAGGTGATCTGAGTAACAAACGGCTGAAGGCGCAACCTGCAACTAGTTAGGTCAATGGGCAACAAGTCATTAAAAGGACTAGGTGTAAAACGAAAGCAGACTCTTTTAGAAGTAAAGATGGGCAGAGGTTCACCAGCCTGCCAAAAAAGTAGAATCGTTTTGGAATATTGTTCCTCAGTAAAAATAAAAAAATTGGTAAGATTTTGACTATCCCATCATTTACAGAAACATTAGTCTGGAATTGTTCCACTATTTTTAAACACAGTTTTGTTGTGTAGACTGGTGAACCTCTGCCCATCTTTACTTCGGAGAGATTCAGATTCTCTAAAATGCTCTTTTCACACCCAGTCCTGTTGCCAAGTTGCAATTTTCTCCTCCAGCTCTTTGTTTTTCATACCACTTCATGAATTTATAACCTACTGTTGCCCCGTCCCAACTTTTATAGATGTGTTGCTTCCATAAAATTCAACATTGCCTTACATTTGTCTACAGATTGTACAGTTTCTTACTTTAAACCTTTGTTCCACTGTGAATACATTTGGGTTTATGAAATTTTTAAATCATTGCATTTTGCTTTTATTTGTTTACACAACGTCCCAATTTGGGGGGGAAATGTAATTGTATGTTGCTTCAGTTTCGAACCTGTGCTCCATACCTTAGCACTGCGGTAGCTTGATGGTCCGTGCTGCAGCTTTGTGACCCTGACGCTCCATGTTTGAGTCCAGGATGCATCAGGAAGGTTTGTTCGAGTCGATATAGTGATACCTGCAGGAAGGAGCAGCTGAGAAGCAGCAACAACCTGTGCTTGATAACTTCCTTAAAGTAGTCAGCAGGTCTTGATGTACATGTGAGTTATGTATTTCCAGAAAACGTTGAGTTGTGTGCTGACAGTTTTTGATGAACTGTGCACAGAGGGCCTCAGCATCATGGAGGCGAGCGTGGCGGAGGGGGCAGTGTGGGTTTGCTGTGGTTCACTGTCAGTCGTGTCCCAGTTAGCAGACAGGCCCTGGTCCTTGGGGAGCTGCACACCAGCACTCTCCCATACATCAGCCTGACAGGCCAAGCTGCTGAAAGGCCGGACCCGGACTGGCTGACTGCGCTTGGCTCAGCTTACCCACGAAATGAAGACACAATGTTATCAGTCTGCCACAGCCTCTCTTATGTCAGAGTGTTTTATTAATAAGAGACAGGTTACCTCGTCTGCTTGGATCATCTGTCTAGACTCCCTCCTCATGTAGTGAAAGAGGAGGCCGGTGCAGATTTGGAGCCGCTGCAACAGCTGATTGTGCTGTTCGTAAGTTTTCTTTTAATAGCAACCAACTCACAAAACAAGTGAGAGAAGCCGCATCAGAGGAGAGAAGAGCAGCAAACTGTTTCTGATGGTCTGTTTTGCATCAGATCCACCATGTGGTCAGTTAATGTGCAGATGAGAGCAGATTGCAGAGAGGACGCCGCAGACTCTCCCATTCAGAAGATGTGAGGTGTGTGAGCCAGGCTTTGACATGTGTTGTCCAAAGGCCATGACCTCTGACCTTTCCCTGAAGATAATGACCCAACCAACACCCCCTTCCCAATCCCTTTTTTTATATACGCCATCCAATCAGTCCACTGTCCAGATGGCTTCCTGATTAAGGATGGAAAAATATACACGACAAACACCGACCTCAACAGAAGCTCTGTTCTTTTTATGAAAATGGCAAGTTTTGTTTGAGATGGCACATAATTTTACGGAAAGCTGAATTTCTCCATTCTGCTGACCGTTGCATGTAGTAATTCAAATATTAACTTCTCTGATTAGCATGGAAATCTCCAAGAAAGAGGATTGGAATGGAAGAAGAAAAAAAAATTCATTCAGGTCGAAGTCAAATAACTTTGAGCATTAACGGAAAAAAAACAAAATCCCCAAGAAGAAGGGCAACGCGATCAATCGTCTGACGGAGTGGAGAGCAAAAGTGTGGACTCTCTGTAATGGAACAGATATTAAAAGCATTCAAGTAAGGCCAATTTATGCCATTTTTTTCACATCCCATTGTTCTCCTCACTCGATGCAAATAGCCTCAAACTTTCAGCCAGCTAAAGCAAAGGCTAAAGGATGGTGCACGCTGGTTTTATTCAAAGTGAATTACTGAATGTTAAGTCTCTTTGCCTCCTCCATTATCAGCTGTGTTGACCCATGTGTGTGTGTGTGGGGGGGGGGGGGGGGGGTGCCTTTATGTATGCCGAGGATGCATGTGTGTGTTTCAGTGTAAACAAGGCGGGTGTTATGACTGGATCAGATGCGTGAGACAGATTAAAATGAGCTCACCGCCGGCCCATTTCCATTCCCATCTGCCTGCTGACCTCCTCTTAAGTCCCGGAAGCTGAAACGGTGCATCCTTTTGGTCTCTGATGGGCCTGTTTGACCCAGTCAGCTTGAACTTTGCATTAACCCAACTAAAATTTCAGTTTTAATGTATTTTTTATTTCATTGCCGCACATTTAAAAAATTTAGCTTGTGTTTAATTGACCTTTTCCAACTTGTCAACCTTTTAAAAGCAGCCAGCTCAGGCACAACACCCTTGCCCACTCCCCTCTGACCAGCCCCCTTATCCAGCCAGTGGCTGCTCGCCAGAGTGTTGTGGTCAAAGCAGAGGCGGCATGTCGAGGCAAAGGGGTGTCAGGAGCTCCCAGGGGTTGTGGCCTTCATTCTAGCAGCGGTGACCCCATGTTAAAAGGATGTCAGCTGGGGCTCTCTCATGGGTAATGTGTGCTAAAGACCTGCCGCCTCCTTTGTTCAAGGGCCGGGCTTTCAGAGGCTGTGAAGTGCAGCAGTGTCTCTTTGCTTGCTGCTTGTTTCTTTGGGTGCAGCGTGGAAAGGTCTGTAACCTCCAGCCTTTCTCAGGGTGGGAACTTCATGCGTGTGAGGCTGCCGTGTCACCAGTTTCCTTTTTATGCGCTCAAAGACAGATTGGAGCCTGCAGTGGTGTCTGCATGTCTGAAAGGAATAGGACTAATTCAGTACTATTATTAATGGAAATTTAGAAGAATCATGTTGCTTTTATATAATTATCACGTTCCCTCCTAAAGATCTGTTTTACAAAGTAATCGTTGCAGAAAAACTCAAATTAGTCAAGCAAAAACACTCGTTTGGGTTAGTGTCGATTTTCCCTCTAATTTGTGAAACAACTCCAGGTTTCACTGATTAAATCTAGTTGTTTTGTAAAAAAACGTTTTACACCACACTAGATTTTAGCTCTGTATCTGTATCTTCTTGAATAAGTTTGATTTCGAAAGTTGATCGGCTGTACATTCATTGAATAATTTCTGAGACTTGCATGTAAATCTGCTGTTTAAGAGATCATTTTCTAACAGTCACAGTTATAAACAAAGACTTTTTGTGTTTCGTTAGCACTCAAATGATGATTTGGGGTTCAGTCTTAGCTGCTACCGCACCAAATTTTAGCTTATGGTCTGCAAACTTGATAGATTTTTAGCCGTTTTTGTAATTGATTAGCTGTGGTGGTCATCTTAAATAGGGCTGACTCTTAAAGTTAGTCAGCTGCACTTCCAATGATTACTGTGAAAGAGTTTAATTAAAATCCATCCACTAGTTCATGAGATGTTTTGCTAACAGACATACAGAAGCAGTTACATCATTACATCATTTTATAGCATCTTGCAATGATAAAACCATGAGTGGTGCAGTCCTAAAATTATCTTTATGTTGTTTCAAGCCATTTTAAATATATTTAAAACACAGTAATGGTTCAAATATTTACCTTAAAGGTTTTAAAATATGCAAAGAACAATTTACAGATAAGGTTTAGATGCAGAGCAATATATCAAAAAATGCTTTGGAGATCTTTTTTTTTTAATCAAAATTATATGTAAATATGTAAAAGCATCACTTGTCCAAGAACTAATTCTTCAACAGGAAGTGTTTTTTTTCTGTATGTTTTTTTTTTTTAATATATGTCAATACTCCTGAATATTAAAGTTAAAGTTAAACACTATATTATAAACTGGTTAGATGTAGGTAAAATCTTTGGGAGAAAAAAACAGTACATTCAAAATTCCTCAAAAGCTGTAAT